TGTAACTTTATGCAAAATGCTTACAGGATAATGTCAAATGGGGGAGAAGACGCATGACTGTATGTAACTAAAATGACAACCACAAAAATTACTACGTATGAATAAAGACAAGGGCTCAGAAAGATGAGATTACGGACTCATTTCATCTTTTAGGGTAAAAGAACTGTGACTTTTTGTACGTATGTGACATCACCATTATAAATGTAGTTAGGAAAAATAGATTTCTGTAATTTTCTCATTAAGGAGTCTATAATATCTGTATAGTAGAAAAGAATTCCTTTTCTGAAAAATGGAAAACGGGTCTTTGGTTCTAGAACACTTGCTTTCCATAACACGGTGACAGCAATCACCAAAAGATAGTGCTGCAGCTGTAGCACCCATCATACAGCTTCAAGAGACATTTTGGGCAAGGGAACAATATAATTAATGTTTTCCAAGGGCCTTCGAAGAAAGCTGTTGCTTACATAAACAATTCTTGTTATTCAAATATATATATATATTCATAAATATATTTATATATATTCAACTTACAAAATGATGAACTACAGCACACAATTTAATCACAAGGAACCATATCCTAAAAAAGTACAAGACATTAAGCTGAGGCTGGTTTAACGGAAGGAAATAAAGTGAACACCAATGAAGACCTGATTCTTAGACTTTGTTGTTTATTTTTTGTTTCTGAAAAGATCCAGACACTAGTCTGAGTGTTAGAAATACTTTTGTAGGGCAAAGTCAAGTCACTCAACTTCACTAGTTAAGTATCTAGGTCATGTTAGCACCCTGGGACATTCAAAAATCCTGAACACAGGCAAGATCTTTTTTCATTCTCATTTCCGAGATTACAGGGAGGCCCAGGAACTAAAATTAGCTCTCACGTGAAAATCAGCAGTTTATTCATTTTCAGTCTTTGTTGTTTGTTTAACACATCCAGCTCCCCAAAATAGCCCATTGTCAACAGGCTCATGGCCGATTTCCCCAGAATGACTCCCGCTCTGCCACTGATGAATACAGTATCACCATTATAGACGGATTTTGAACAGACACATTTCTGTAATCCATGGTTAAAATAACAATCATTCTAATCCTGTAGAAGCTGAACCTGATATAACAACAACAAAAGCCAAAAGCCTCCCAGTGTTACTCCAAAGTTGGTTTCTAGTCTTTAGATGGTCACTGAGGTGCTAAAAACGGTACAGTCTACCCAGCATGATAAAGCCCTTCAATGCTGGGTCTTTGGTTTAAAAACAAATCAGTTAAAATAAATAAACAAATAAAAACAAAAACAAATAGGGCCGGGCGCAGTGGCTCACGCCTGTAATCCCAGCACTTTGGGAGGCCGAGGCGGGGGGATCACGAGGTCAGGAGATCGAGACCATCCTGGCTAACACGGTGAAACCCCGTCTCTACTAAAAATACAAAAAATTAGCCGGCGTGGTGGAGGGGGCCTGTAATCTCCGCTTCTCGGGAAGCTGAGGCAGAAGAATGGCTTGAACCCAGGAGGTGGAGCTTGCAGTGAGCCAAGATCGCACCACTGCACTCCAGCCTGGGCGACAGAGTGAGACTCCGTCTCAAAAATAAATAAATAAATAAATAATAAATAAAAACAAATCAGTTAAGTGTCACATTCTATTCAAGCTCAACTGACAGCACTGAACTAAACTGCAGGCTGTTCCTATGGAACTGATTATTGTGAAAAAACAAACTAAAATCTAATTGCAATGGTCAGATATGATTATAACAAAGCAGTGGCACATGCAAGGAAGAAAAACAAGATATCACACTAGCCATCCTTGCCACCTTAATTATACCAGGTTTAACAACAATACGAGCACCTACCATGAACCAGTGTCTACAGAATGCTAGTCATTCTACGTGCATTACTGCTAACCTTCATGACAACCGTCCGAGGATGTCCTCTCATCTCTCCTTTTCAGGTGAGGAGACTCAGTCTCAGTAAAGCTAAGAAAATTACATAAAATCTCACAGCTAAGGCCGGGCACAGTGGCTCACGCCTGTAATCCCAGCACTTTGGGAGGCCAAGGCGGGTGGATCAAGAGGTCAGGAGTTCGAGACCAGCCTGGCCAACATGCTGTTGGCCGTTTCTACTAAAAACAAAAATAAAAAAATTAGCCAGGTGTGGTGGTGGGCACCTGTAACCCCAGCTACTTAGGAGGCTGAGGCAGGAGAACTGCTTGAACCTCAGGAGGCAGAGGTTGCAGTGAGCCAAGATTGCGCCACTGCACTCCAGCCTGGGGGACAGAGCAAGACTCTGTCTCAAAAAAAAAAAAAAAAATTTTCACAGCTAGAAATGGCACCCTCAAGACTGATACTTAACAAGACTATCTTAGAAATGTCCCCTCTTTCCAAAACACCCCTGATTCCCTTAAGAGAGCGCTTAGGAGTTAAGCAAATAAGTGACACTAACCCATCGAAGGTCTAATCTTTTGTCTGACATTTCTTTTCCATATTAGTTGGGTTTATAATTTTGGTGATTCTTCTTTTTTTTTTTTGATATGATCTCGGCTGCAACCTCCACCTCCCGGGTTCACACCAGTCTACTGTCTCAGCCTCCTGAGTAGCTGGGACTACAGGCATGTGCCACCATGCCCAGCTAATTTTTCTGTATTATTAGTAGAGACGGGGTTTCACTGTGTTAGCCAGGATGGTCTCGATCTCCTGACCTCGTGATCCGCCCACCTGGGCCTCCCAAACTGCTGGGATTACAGGCAAGAGCCACCGCGCCCAGCCCAGTGATTCTTCTTTAATACAACTCACAGAATTAAATACAAAGCCATTGTAGGCTGGGTGTGGTGGCTCATGCTTGTGATCCCAGCACTTTGGGAGGCCAAAGTGGGCGGATCACTTGAGGTCAGGAGTTAGACACCAGCCCGGCCAACATGGTAAAACCCCATCTCTACTAAAAATACAAAAATTAGCCAGCTGTGGTGGTGCATGCCTGTAATTCCAGCTACTCAGAAGGCTGAGGCACATGAATCACTTGAACTTGGGAGGTGGAGGTTGCAGTGAGCCAAGATCAGGCCACTGCACTCCAGTCTAGGTGACAGTGTGAGACTCTGTCTCAAAAAAAAAAAGAAAAAAAAAAGATTGTAAAAACGAAGAACATTCTACCAGTGCAGACAACCATCAATAACTCCTACTTAAGCAGGCAGGAAGGGGGAAGATTTCTGGGAGCCGCCAGGTCATTTACACCAAGAGCGCATCTCCTCTCTCCTATGTCTACCACAGGTCCCTGCAAAACGTGTGAGGTTGCCAACTATACATAGGCTCACACTGCTCTCATCTCTAAAAGAAAAACAAGGAAGTCCTCCTCAAGACTGCCATATCCTCTTCCCATCCCCTCACAGACACATTTCTTTTTCCCTGTAACAAGAGTCTTTTTAAAAAACTTTTTAAAGATTTATTACTTTTGGCCGAGCACGGTGGCTCACGCCTGTAATCCCAGCACTTTGGGAGGCCGAGGTGGGCAGATCACAAGGTCAGGAGATCGAGACCATCCTGGCTAACACGGTGAAACCCCGTCTCTACTAAAAATACAAAAAATTAGCCAGGTGTGGTGGCGGGCGCCTGTAGTCCCAGCTACTCGGGAAGCTGAGGCAGGAAAAAGGCGTGAACCCAGACGGCAGAGCTTGCAGTGAGCCAAGATTGCACCACGGCACTCCAGCCTGGAGGACAGAGCGAGACACCAAAAAAAAAAAAGAAGATTTATTACTTTTAATTTCTTTTCTTTTTGTTTTTGAGACAGAATCTCACTCTGTCACCCAGGCTGGAGTGCAGTGGTGCAATCTTGGCTCACTGTAACCTCTATCTCCTGGGTTCAAGCGATTCTCGTGCCTCAGCCTCCCGAGTTGCTGGGAGGTTAATTTTTGTATTTTTAGTAGAGATGGGGTTTCACCATGTTGGCCAGGCTGGTCTTGAACTCCTGGCCTCAAGTGATCCACCCACCTTGGCCTCCCAAAGTGCTGGGATTATAGGCATGAGCCACTGTGCCCAGTCAAGATTTACTAATTTTTATGGGTACATGGTAGGTATATGGGGGTATATGGGATATACATTGTATTTTTAGCAGATCAAATGTTTGTGGCAATCTTACATCTAGCAAGTCTGTTGGCGCCATTTTTCCAATAACACATGCTCATTTTATGTCTCTATGTCACATTTCGGTAATTCTCACAATATTTCCAACTTTGTTGTAGTGATCTATGATCAGTGGTTTTTGTTTTTTGTTTTTGTGCATATGTATGTTTGTTTTTGTTTTAGTTACTCAGGAGACTGAGGTAGGAGGATTGCTTGAGCTCAGGAATTTGAGACTACAATGAGCTATAATCCTACCACTGCACTCCAGCCTGGGCGACAGGGACCCTCTCTCGGAAAAAAAGAGAAAAAAGGCTGGGCGTGGTTGCTCACGCCTATAATCCTAGCACTCTGGGAGGCTGAGGCAGGCAAATCACGAGGTCAGGAGATCGAGACCATCCTGGCCAACATGGTGAAACCCTGTCTCTACTAAAATACAAAAAATGAGCTGGGCGTGGTGGCGTGCAGCTGTAGTCCCAGATACTTGAACCCGGGAGGCAGAGGTTGCAGTGAGCCGAGATCACGCCACTGCACTCCAGCCTGGGCAACAGAGCGAGACTTTGTCTCAAAAAAAAAAAAAGTCTTTAGATCCCTACCAGTCACTAAGTTTTAGATCACGAAGAGCACAAACCTAAGTCTCTGCAGTCACTCTGGGATTTCTGCAGGGTAAGCAATAATTCGGACATCAAGAGAATTTTTCCAAAAGGAAACTGAAATGCGTTTGGTCAATTCCTCTAATGTTATACATTAAAAAGCTGAGACCAAGAGAGGTTAAGTGATTTGTCCTAGGTCACATGGGAAGTTTAATTGAATGTCTCAGATTAACATTCAGGTGGGCTTTCTATTATATCATATCCATTTGAATCACACAAGAATAATACAGTAAGTTTTCATCCGTTACCTACCTCACTCTTCCATTCAGATTTATCTGAACATGCTGCTTAAAATCTGGATATTTGGATGCCAGATATGCAAAGTCAGGAGGTTTGTCCTTGTATCTATTTCTTGCATGCATTGATTTACTCAGAGCCATCTTAAGGAGAGAAAGAGAGAGAGAAAATCAGCATATTTATTAAAAACCATTAATGGGGGCCAGGCGCGGTGACTCATGCCTCTAATCCCAGTACTTTCGGAGGCCAAGGCAAGTGGATCACCTGATTCAGGAGTTCGAGACCACCCTGGCCAACATGATGAAACCCCGCCTCTACTAAAAACACAAAAAGTAGCCAAGCGTGGTAGCAGGAGCCTGTAATCCCAGCTACTCGGGAGGCTGAGGCAGGAGAACTGCTTGAACCCAGGAGGCGGAGGGTGCAGTGAGCCGAGATTGTGCCACTGCACTCTAGTCTGGGCAACAAGAGTGAAACTCCGTCTCAAAAAAAAAAAAAAAAAATCAGTGGGGAAAGCTGTGGATGCCAAGTTAATAGTTATAGCCAACATGTCTTTGCCGATCAAGTGAGAAAGTAGAAACTACATTTTAAAAATATATACAACAAATAAGCACATGAAGAGATGCTCAACATCATTAGTCATTAGAGAAATACAAATCAAAACCACGTGAGACACCACTTCATACCCACTAGGATGGCTACCGTCAACAAAAAACCAAAAATTAAAAATTAAAAAAACAGAAACAACAAGTGTTCTGCAAGGATGTGAAGAAATTGGAGCTCTCGTGCATTCTGGTGGAATGTGAAGTGGCACAGCTGCTGTCGAAAAACGCTTGGCGGTTCTTTAAAAAGCTAAACATAGAATTACTATCTGATTCAGCAATTCCACTCCTAGGTATATTCCCAAAAGAACTGAAAGGAGGAACTAAAACAGATATTTGTACAGCAGTGTTCACAGTAGTATCATTCCCAAGAGTGAAAAGGTCGGAAACAACCCGAGAGTCCATCAGCAGATGAATGTGGATCAACAAAATGTGGATCAACAAAATACAGTATTTCCAAACACTAAATATGGATCAACAAAATACGGTATTATCCAAACACTAAATATGGATCAACAAAATACGGTATATCCAAACACTAAATATGGATCAACAAAATACGGTATATCCAAACACTAAATGTGGATCAACAAAATA